CCCCCCCCCGTCGGGAAAAAATTAGCATTCTGTCGGGGAAGAGACTATGTCTCTATTGGAAGCAGTGTGTTTTGTAGTGGTTTTAAACCGACACTTGGATAAGAAGGTGAAAAACTAAAATAGATGAGGGGCAATGATTACATAGCAAGAATAAAAGGTAAAAATGGGAGAAATTTTGCGAAAACATGAAGGAAAAATTTAACGAATGTAATGTCCGTAAATTTTTTCACCCCCCCCCCCCCAACAATTTTGGGAAAAGAAATATTAATTAGTGGTTGATGAGTCGGCAAAGTCTTTTGTAGGAACTTAGCCCCTCTGTTGGGGACCAGCCCCTCCGTCGGAGAATTCCTGGCGCCATCACTGCAAAGGGACAATTTTTAGCGACAATTCGCAATAAATTATGCGACAATTGGCTCGCATAAATTAGTTTTCCGCGTTTGACTTCATTATAAGAAAGGTCTATTCTGCGACTCTAGCTATGACAGAAATTGCGTTGCAAAGTGGAGCTGGGGGTTGTACCGTGTGATATGGCCTTAAAATTGGTCAAGTCTCAGGCTACACCGCTGACCATTCTTATACACATTTTAAATAACATTGTATTTCTTGAAGCAGAACTATATATATAATCAACAAAAAACATGCAACGAAACCTCCCTCGTAATCGAGAACCTTTAAAAAGAAAAATTCAATACGATATTTTCAAAAATTGGAATATATTAAAGTTTGATATTGTCTCGGTAGATAATGACGGGAAATGTACACATCTGCAGATGTATAGCCAGTCGACACTTTATTAAATTGAGACTTATTAAATTAGAATGAAAATGACACCCGCAACTAAATGACTATATGCAAAAACTATTATTATAAACTTCAGGAAAATATCATTTGTAATAACGAGACATGATGTCTGAAATACTGAAGTTAACGAATTTTGAATACGGGAGGCAAAACAGTTCTTAAATAAGTTCTTAAATTTAAAACTATGTAAAGATATCACTTGCACGAAATTGCAAATGAAAACGCACAGATCTCACACGTTTTGTTAAAACGCTGAACTAACACAAATATAAACATTTTCCAAGCAAAAATACAAGTATAATATTTTCTGTAATCTGTATACAATTAAATTATAATAATAAATGTTTAATTACAGTGCGAAACAGAAAAAGGAAACGCTGGCCATGTTAATAAAAATCTCATTAGGCAGAAACAAAAGTGTCGTGACATGAATTCAATATTACGATGCTGGAAGAGATAGTGAGTTAACGGGGTTTATTGTATCTCAAAATGATCATCGTCACAAAGATTTATAACTTATACTCTAGGCCTGATGGAAAAAAAATTAAGTTCATGGAAAAAGTTGATTGTTGAATGCTGTCAGCTTTTTACAAAATAAGTGTAATTTATCCCCTGCATATTCAGTGCCAGTATTCTATAATGTATGAAGATTATAGATCATGCATCATGACTCATGAATATCTTAAATTATATTAGTGCTCGCAATTCTAAAATAAACAAAAATTTCGCCATGCATAATAAATACAAAACAGTGAGATACATTTTAATCTTCATGCATGTTTTGTCGGAATATCCTTTGAACTGCGGCCATGCATGGTAGCCGGGATCACATCTCGGCATTGCCGGGCTCATATGAACCCATCAAGCCCAGTCTGACATTTGGGTTATCAATTTTGATCCACAAAATTAAGTCCCAATAAGGAAATCCTAAAGCTGTCGAGATCCTCGGCAATTTTCATTTTCCGCCAATTTGTACGGAATTTATTACGTTTGTCAAAGACCAGACTATTTGCCGGGAAAGTCCATCTCACGGAGCGCATGCAGAGAGCTTGATCGCAGGTTAGCGTGAAGCATGCAAGTTGCATGAAAAACCCGAAAAAACTAGCGTGATGATCTGGTTTACCGGCAGGGTCGTATAGCTAGACCGACATGGGGGGTGCATATTTATATATTTGTGTTTTGCCCGGCGGATTTCTTTTGAAAGCGATTGATTTTACGGTATATGAACATAAATTGATAAATATACCCCCTCCCCCAAATTATCGCGTCTAGCTACGGCCCTGTTTACCGAGGTTTCAGTATAAATTGATATTGCAATATACCTATAAGTTTAATGACGGACACGTGCAGTGCATAACGTACACTTTTAATATCGATTTGCACAAATGAGAAAAAACAGTAACAAATATATAGTAATTATAATGCCACGCATTCATTGCCTATGACAGTTGATACATTTTGAAAAACCAACTACCTTTTTAAGATGTGAAAAGTATAGTCAGAAAACATAAGTTGTAAACAAAATGGACAAAATAAAACATGAGTAAAACATATATGCATGCAGACACAGTCGTTAAAATTAATCTAAATATAAAATTCCTTGTTCATAAGTTGCATCAACATCAAACAATAATCATTATATGTTTTCAAAATTAAAAAGCACTAAATAATTGTTTTCTTCCTTTATGATTTAATTAACACGAATTCGATATTAAAGAGAATTATCTTACCGCAAAACTGCCTGTCGTGAGAAAGCACCTGCATGCCTTCATATACGCCTACAACATTTAACTTTCGAAAAGACTAACTGCAGAGACTCATAACAAATATTGAACTTTGTCTTTGTATCATATTATTGAAGATGCGTCAAATGATGCTGGACTACTATACGTAGTATACTACTTTCATACCGTCAGATAAAATTATACGTCCAAACACTTAAGTCTTAATATATATATACATATATCTATAGTATATAATATAATATGCAAAACTTTATTCGTTCCATTCAAACACTTATCATGATAAATGCGTTCATAATAAATGAACGAGGAAAATATTTTAAATGTTAAACCTGCTTTTCAAGCTAAAAGATTGAAAGAAGCCTATACATATATATACCTATGCATCGATTAAACTTTCAAAATTTAACTGCAGAGAAAATTACTTTAAATCGATCGTTCAAGTAAGTTCAAGTCGCATTCAAAATCGTAAAAAAAACTTTCAAAAAAACAAAAATTTTGCCGAAACGTCTGAAACAGTTGCCGTCAAGTATTGTACAATATCTTGAACATTTTAGCATTGTTTTTATAATCACTGAAATTCTGAATTAAAAATCTGAAGAATTATTTTTGAAACACCTTCAGGTTTCAAACACATGAACACTTGTCCTTGATGGATCTGTTTTTGTATCATGCACCTGCTTCTTAATAAATCCATTGACAAACATACATTAACTGATCACGTTCATTTAGCTATAAATCCTCTTGGACTTACGTAAAACGCTTTTGTGTTTACTGATTTAGATGACGATCTTTCGCGTCTATATTGTCACTTACCTTGACACTCGTGCTAAGACCTAAGTTCTTTTTATGTTCTCAAAATGTACAACGAATTTCTAAAATTGCATTATATACGAACGTTCAAATTTCGCTTGTGTGATATATGTTTCAATTTGATTTTTGTGCCACACTTCGTAGACTATAAAACTAGGCTAAGCGAACCTTTTCCGTTTGATCAGAGTCTTTGAAAGAAGTTTATTGCACGTGTAACGTTCGTGCACTACAATTTCTGCTTTGTATACTGAGTCTGTACTACAACTGCAAAATCTTGAGTACATCACAACTTAAAACGTTTTCGTATACAAGAATGTTTTTAGTTTTCTTTCACTTCTAAATTTTCTATTATAGCGTAAAGTATAAAAAAAAACAGTTAACGCATTATTTTATATTATTGGATACGATGTTAATTTTATTATTCTCTATGCACGAGTCCAGTTATAACGTCTCCTGAGAATAGTAAGAAATTCAAGTATAGGGTTTCCAAGATGCGGGAGCATCAAACGGAAATGAAGTGTCACATTGAAGAGCACGCGGCACTATATACTGTACAGCATATAGCTACATTATTGTCGATTGACCAATTCCAAGATGCGGGAGCACCAAAGAAAATGAAGTGTCACATTGAAGAGCACGCGGCACAATACACAGTATAAACATTATTGTCGATTGACAATTGATGAAGACTTAGTGTCTCCTTCCCCGTCAAGACTCGTTTGATATTCCCCGAAAGCGCACTTCTGATTATTTATCGAACATCTAAGCCAAGCAACCGCAAATCATATTCAATCAATACATCAATATTGTCGTTGCGGGCGTAAGCCAAGGGCTGCAATCTATATATAATATATATACACATATGTACCGCAAGAAGAGCCTGCGGAGGAGGGCAGAGCCGGGGGCAAGGGAACTAACTCCGTCCAGCTATTTATACCCAGTGAAGGAAATAATTGCGAAGTGAAATTATATGTCATGCATGTTATGCGCGATGTTAACCTACAGTATATTAAGGATAGTGCATAGATTCTGGTTGGTCCAATAGATATTAAAATCTTGAAAATGTTTGAAAAGCAAACAGATAAGAAAGCGAGAAAGTATGAATGCGGTGTTCAACTTGAGTTCACGTTCAGTTCACAACTAAGTCTCTCAAATTTTATCATGATTGTGTGGCCTCCAAGTAAACTACATATACAATTTTTTAACATTTTCTCATTCTTATAACTGCCAGTTGACCAGCATATATAGCTGCACGATTGTGGTTAGTATATCAACTTGCTGTATACGACTAATTATACTGTGTATAGATCATATACGAAGCGCTTACCGAGTTAGGCTGAATTATCCTGACGACGCAGAAGACGGATAACTTGATTTACTGAAAAAAACCCTTCAATATTTAGTTGAGAGACCCAACATCCTGATATTTATCCATATGCTTTACTGGCATCACCTTAATTTATATAATCATGAACTTGCGGTTAATGGTGGAGAACTGGACGGAAACGCATGCAGGGCCGCGGGCTCAATTCCTGCCAGGGGGTCAATAGTTGTATTTTTCGCAGCTCAGCTCCTGGTTAGGTCTAAAGATGTATAACATTTACACTCGAAATTTCCATCTAAGATCTAGTCAATACCAACAGGAAGCGCTGCAGCTGCGCACAATCTCTCTTTCGCAGAGACTTCCTAAAAGAATTTCGCCATTGCGTATGCACTGGGAAAAAATGTGAAATCCATACATTTCGAATAGGCAATTCCAGCTTTTAGTTTATGCGTGGGGGGGGG